CGCATCTCTTTTTCCTGGTCGTTACCTCCTGAAAAACATTGAAGGGTTTTTCTCTGGTCGTAAAGCATTTTGATTGGTTATTTCACTCTAGTCAAACATAAGCAAGCACTGCAAGTGGACAAAACGTTTTGGTGAAGCTTTATAACCTGCGCATAAATGAGACTTATTAATTATCTGGTCAATGAAAAGTCAGTATAGGCAGGCATACCACGTTCCAAGAACATAGCGATATTTAACAACAACAAAAAATACTAACGATGTTTTTATGCCTTGAAAGGAGGAAAAACGTTCACAAGTATCATATCAATCAATCCTAATTTACAGGCACAATAGTGAAAAGAACGTTTAGATAAAAAAAATACCCCTGAATCTGCTTGAGTTGTTAATTTGCTGCTGCAGTTTAGCTTAAGCCTCTGTACCTAACGAAACTTGCAGTAAAAAATGGGCCAAAAGACAGGATAAGCTGGAAAATCACACCAGCGAAGGAAAAGGAGAGGAAAAAAAGGGAGAGGAAGGAGAAACTTTTTTTTATTGGCTACTTTAGTTTTTGGCACACCCTGACTCAAGATTCCCAGCAGTGCCCCCAGATATAGCCGGGTATGTCGATATCGGCACATTGGAATCAAGATCAATACAAAAATTTACCTTTTAAAGTTTTCTTTATTCGTTCACACCTTAAAAAAACAACAGTGACGCACGGAGTCGTTTAACTACGGCATACGCTAGAATCCCTGCTTTGGGCCTTTCTCTAACTTGACAGTTGCTACAATAGCAAGACAACAAGCTTAGAATTCAGTTACAGGGCGTTTCTTTACCCACTCCGATATTTCGGGCACGTTTAACACCCGTTTATAATGCTCCACCAAGAGCGGGAACTTCTCAAGTTCTCCAGGAACATTTTCTTTACCCCTCGAAATAAAGTTGTTCAAGAAGTCAAAGACAGTGATGTCGGCATAGCAAAGCTGCGGATAAGAAACAGAAAGAAATCGCAGTTAATCTAGAGGCGTACGATTGGGTAACCTTTCTTCTGTGGGTGGCGATAAGCCGCAGGCAATGTTTTAGGCTATTTTCACACTATATATAAGTTGAATAGCTTTGCTTTTCATGGCGCCACGAAAATCTAGCCCGTATAGTATGAGCAGCAACACCTCGGGGCGGCACAAGTCGTTCACACACATCGAGCATCGCACCGGCGCAGTTGACCAAAAGGTTTCGTTTACTTCCGTCTCAGTGGGTTCCAGGCCTCGCTCCTACCTACTTTCTTCCCCCAACGGGCAGAATATATAAAGGAATTCACATTGCACCAATTATGGCACAAAACCGCTCCGATATGTGACGCTCCACTTTCGAGATCAGCGCGGCCCAGCTTAATTCACTCCGTCAGAATCGCACTGCCACAGCGTCCTACCCAGGCCAGTTCGCGCTATCCGAGGTGACGTCACATCCGAAATCGCCGAGGACGACTAGGAACGAGGCTGGCACTGCCACAACCGTTCTTGTGTGTGAACAGATGCCCTGTCCGCTGTGATTTTAGTGGCGGCGCAACCTCGTCCCCAGGGCTTTTCCCTCAAAAAATGGGTGGGAAAAGCCCTAGGGACGAGGTTGGTGACGGCGCAAAAGCTTTCCTGTTTAATGTAAACATTGTTATACTCGTTAGTCTTTTAAGCAAGCCTAATCCACTTGCCACGCTTTGAGCATTCCTCTTATCTCACCTTTTCGCCCAGAAAGAAGCCCTTGCCTTCATCCCTGCTTTTGAGAAGAGCTTCAAATTTCTCGAGTCGGGCAGGGAGCGTCGTCCCATAAAACTCCTTCTTTATCTCATCCTTTATTATTAAGGCAAAAAAAAAATTATAAATAACTAACACTAAGTTATGGGAAATAGAATTTGGAGTAAAACCTACGGGATTGTACACGGAGCAGAACTGAGAAGTATACGTCAAATCCCGTTACGGACACATGCCACTGAGAAGACTCTGCTTACGGCCCGGGGGTGGGGGAGAACTCCTTATAATGGCCTATACGGGGAGGCTCCGCGCCCCCGAAAGGGGTATCTTCTTTAGGTTTCAAGTAAATGAAAGGTGGGGACTTCATTATAATTAGTTGAAGAATCTGGTAGGGTAGGGAAGTCTGCCATTTCTGTGATTTATACATATTTCACAGACAGTGCTTTTACAGCAGTTAAAAGGGATGCTAAGGTTTTAAGTAGGTATATGAAAGGGGTAACTTTTCCGTCAAAATTAGTACATGAACGGGTAAGGGGTTGGACAACGGAAAGAAGCAAGCAGATAATTCGAAAGGTACGGCCTTTCTTCTTCAAGAGGCCTTACAAATGACTAAGGGTTTGGACCCCGGGGCGGAGCCCACCCGCATAATCTCTCCCTGGGACTTACGGCAACCTTTAGTAAATATAACTCCGTATGAAATGATCGTCTACAAGAGCCAGTCCTGTAAGTGGCCGGCTTCGGTGACAACAAGAGAGAAAAATCTCTAAAAGTGCTAAAAGGCCGCAAAAAACGAAAAGTTTCATTCTTACTTCTCAAGTGTTATAGTAGTAGAGAGATATTATTTTTGTGAAAGCGTTTATTGATCTATGTGTTGATTGACAACTTGAAAACCACTTTGAGGCGTTTCCTTAGAAAAAAACATTTAATGAAGTCGTAAGTACCCCATGGTACATGGCTTGTGTTCATATTCCTTCTTTATAATTTTTCATATCATACAAATGCTATTATTTGAATCAATTTTAGCCAGGTATTTTGCTTCAATTCTCAATGTTGGAAAATAAAGAATTACCTGTCGGTAAGGGTCGGAATAGGCATCTTGAGTAAATCTAGACTGCATGGGGCCCTACGAGCCCACGCGCTTTGCGCCTCGCAAAACCAATTTTAAGAAAACGACCGACTATTTTGTAGTCTAGAGTAAAGCCTGACAAACACATAGAGAAACTGACACGGACATCAACTCTGGCATTACCTTCTTCGTTTCGTCTTTCTCATAGTATATCTTGCTAAATTGCTGAAGTAAATCAGTAACTCCATCACTGATCATATCCGCTGTCGCTTCATCAAAACTGTCAGCTGGGCACAAACCTAATTATCAAAGTAGGTATTTTAATTAATACTTTTAAAAAAAGCTAAGCCAGCATACACCTTCTTAACTCTTCTTTTTGAAAAATAAAGAAGAAACAAGAGGGAAAAGAAAGGAAGAAAAGATGAAAAGGAGAAAAAAAGACACGCAGACAAGGAATAAGAAAAAAAGAAAAGGGAGAGAAAGAAAGAAAAAAGAAAAATGGGAGAACGGACGAATCGACGAAGGAACGAATGCGCAAACGCACGGAAGGATGGATGGATGGATGAATGAGTGAGTGAGTGAGTGAGACACACAGACAAGGAATAAGAAAAAAAGAAGAGAAAGAAAGAAAGAAAAGAGGTAGATAGACGAATCAACGAAGGAACGAACGCACATACGCACGGGCCGACGGACGGATGGAGGGATGAATGAGTGAGTGAGTGAGTGAGTGAGTGAGTGAGTGAGTGAGTGAGTGAGTGAGTGAGTGAATGAATGAATGAATGAATGAATGAATGAATGAATGAATGAATGAATGAATGAATGAAGAGAAAAAAAATAAGAAAGAAAGAAAGAAAGACAGACCGACAGATCACCGAGATAGGCTCTTTAGTATATCGGCAGGTAGCCTCCTATGCAGACGTTCTAAGGGCGAGACGAAGCTCCTTAGAACGTCTGCGTTGGCGGCTAATAAGCATAAGTGATCACAGGGAACTCCTGAACTCGTGATTCGAACTTTTCGGGGCGTCGTGATGTCACGCACGACTTGTGATCTCGTACATTTACATAACGCAACGCCCGCTCTTATCTTGATTCACACAAGTGACCGGGAGAAGGCTTAAACAAAAGTTTGCATCTTTTGATCCCAAATGTTAATGTAAGGTATTGTATTAGTGGTGTGATGTCAGTTTCAAGCGACTCAAATCGCCACAAAAAAAAGCAGAGAACGACACTGAAAACATATGGCAGGGGCAACCAACGACTGTTTCTGTAGAATATCCGTTCGGAGAAGCAAATATTGCCTAAAATTTTGTATTACTTGAGGACGGCTAAAAATTTTTACGTGACTGTTCCATTCGTGTACAATTTTCGAAGCTTCCTAACAAATTCCCTACGATTTTCTGAAGTTTAATTTTTCACATTTCACTCCCAAGGTTTGGCTATTTTTCGTAGAAAAAGGAAACCTAAAATGTTCGGATTCAAAAATGCGATGAAGAGAGGAATTAGAAAAATTGTCACTTTCGTAAAACGTTAAATTACATCTAAAATTTTCTGGAAAGTAAAACTGGAGCCCTAATAATTTCGAAAAGTCTTAGGTTGCCCTAGGATGACAGAACAGATACAAATTTTGTAGCGCCGCTGAGAATGCTTTTGTAGAGATCTAAAAGTACTCTGGATAGCCTAAAAAGTGTTCTCAGGGTATTTAGGAGGAAACCGTCGTTGGGTGCCCCTGATATGGTAAGTAATCTTTTTTTTTTTCAACTTTCTTACCTCAAATAACATTTGGCATCACAAGGTGAAAACTTCTGAGTTTTATGAAGCATTTCTCCCGATCACTTGAATCAAGCCAAGAGGGAGCATAAGAATTCCATCCCCGGAGACCCAGGGGCAGATAATGCCTCAAACAGTTCGAATTGTCCGCCTGTGGAATGATATGCTGATTAACAAATTACGTTCAATACATCACCTCCTTTTTTGCAGATGTACTTCGTAATTGTACCAGACTGTGCCAGGATTTTTCCTTCAGGAGTCACAATGAAGGGCATTTGACCAAGAGGTGGTCTACCAGCTGAAACAGAACAGAGAGAAAATTAAAGTGGTAGAACGTCGGGGTTTCTTCTAAGGAGACGCCAATAGCCGCCTTGGTTCTAATAATGCTAAATCCCGGCGGGGGCGGGGAGGGGGGTGGGGGGTCTATTCAATGAAGTCGTATACGGAGAGGCTTCACCCTAAGGTCCAACACCTCACTTTTTACACAAACTATTTTGACTGAGAATTACCCCTTTCAACTGATAAATGGTACCCCATCATCATCATCATCATCATCTACTAATGAAACCCCTACCCTTTCATATACCTAAAAGGTGAAAAATGGACCCGCTTTGGGTGAAGATTTATCTTGTTATAACCTTAGAGAAAATGAATACAATCTCGCTGTTCCACAACCCCGTACTCAATTTTATAAAATAAGTCTTTCTTACAGCGGAAGTGTGTTATGGAACGGCTTGCCCCTGGAGTCTGGAGGAGCGGCAATTGACATCCCCTAATTCATTTAAGGAATAATTAAGGGACCTAAATTTCGATTGTCAAATAATTTAATCATTGATATGCTGTTTTTACACACAGCCTCCTTGAAAAGCAGGTGTTTTCTTTTCATCTTTATTATTTTAGTTTTTATCTTAGATTATAGATTAGTTAGGTTGTTAGTTTTCTATACTTGAATGTAAATGTACCTGAAGGAAATACCATGTATAAATAAAGTTACCATACCATACCATACCTCACTATATAGGCCATTATTAGGAGTTGCTCTTTCCTGGGTGCTAATATTTCAAATAGGGTAGGTCATGGCGCATAACACGCAAGCTAACAACGAGGAAGTTAATCGGTTTTCATTCCCCTAGAAGCAAAATGTGGCGAAAATTTTGCGACCAGCCTGACCACGTCCCAAACTCGAATTTCTATTAAGATTTAGCTCATTTCTGATATAGGATTGCGCCAACCGAGACTCATCAGATTTTCACGGTTATTTGACCACACCTACCAAGACAACGAGAACGCTCTCTTTTTTCATCGTCCGTTGAGCGAAACGCGAAAATGACCACGCGCTTGACGGACCCTTGTTTGTCGCGTTCGCGTTCGCGCGCGCTTGCGCTAACCTGAGCAAAAGCCATATGGGCTTCGTCGAAATCGTGTAGCAGCTGCTCGGAAGAGAGGTCACCAATGGTGAGTTTCCCTGGCCCCAAGCAATACTAAAATAATTGGCAGAATGGCATGTCATTGTTTCCTGCGACCAATTAGGAGATGAGAGACCTTCTGAGCAACTCCTACACCACTCGCTTTGTCACGCGTTCCTTACGAACGCGCCCGCTTCGCGAGGAGGGAACGCGTTGAACGCCCGGGGGAGGGGTACTCCTTATTTCAAGTGACGAAGATGAACGAAGGATTTTTTGGCACTGAATTTTCGATTCCGGGAATTTTTGGGTAGGAAAATTTGGCAAGTAGTTTTTGGCTTGATTCTAATAGGGATTATTTGGAATATTCAAAACTATCTGAATTTGTCATTCTGCGTTCATGTTATTGCTCAAACAGAAGATGTTCTTGGATGTCTCGGTGCATGTTGCTAAAAATATTCAAATTCTAATATTTTTATTTTTCGTGTTATTATTTTCACCCTACCCTCGTTTTAGCAACGCCGTCATTCATATCCTCAGAACATACCTTTGACCCAGGCCTCAGAGAACAACTTTCTTTCGTAGCAGTCTTCGAAACGAAGAAAACGTAACTTTTATTCAGTGACGAAATAACAAAATCATTGATACCATTTGTGGTCGGAAGCAAACGAGTGTGTAGGCTGGTGAGCACACTTGTCAGCGGCCCGTGACTAAGCAATAATTTATTTTATTTCAGTACGATAGCATTCGCGCACACATAAAACCGATCGAAATTCAAGTGAATGTATGCGTACGGTACGCGTATTTGCCATCGGCTTTGATCGCATTCAGTTATAAACAGCCATTTAAGATCACAAAATTCTAAAAATACAATCGAAAAATAATTCATCATCGCGCACTTCACGGAACTTTTATATTTACTTACACGCTTTCTCTTTTGCCCATTCTTCGGCTGGTAATCGAATATCCTCGTAGTCAATCTTTGCAGCCGCAAATGCAAGTCGACATTTTTCTCCTCCACCGCGGACTGGAAAGTAGAACAACTTGTAGCCAGACATTTCTGCAGAATGTTTCAGTCAAACACAACTTTAACCCTCGCACCGCTGAAGTTCAATGAACTGCTAACTCATTATTTGCTCATTACCTTTTATATCACGGTACTGTATGTAAATTTCACCAAGTCGTGTCATGTCACGCAAGAGGCCACTCGAAGTTTTATATAGACTGTTAGCCTGTTCCGGGCGTTCAGATAGTGGGGAGCGGTGCGAAGTAAAAAGGAGCGCGATAAAATAAAAACGAGGGAGGGGGAGAAGTGAGAGAGGGAACGCCTGTAAGATTTGTTTTAAATAGACTCATCCGCTCACTCAGACGGCACAGGTCTCCCCAGTTCCCCCTCTACTTTTCATTTTTTTTTTTGGGGGGGGGGGGGGGCTTTAATTTTTTTTAAAGGAAAAAAAGGGGGGAGGAAAATTTTTAAAGGGCAAAAAGGGGGGACCCAATTTTTTTTAACCGCCTTGAAAAAATAAAGGGCGGTTATTTTTAACATTTTTTATCAAACACAACCAAAGAAAGTTTCCTTTTATTCTTTTTTGATGAAGATATTTTTTTTTTTAATTAAATAAACTCCATTTTCTTTTATT